CTCTTTAACTGTAGATTTCCCAGCCTGGTTAAAGGGTTTATCCGGCCATCGTTTTGCGCCGCTATTCAAGAAAATGAAGTGGCAAGAAATCATGACATTTAGTGATACTCGGTTAAGAAATATGGGAGTTGTATCTCCAGTACGTAGAAATATGTTGAAAGCATTTAAATATGTGAAGGAGGCTTTGGTGAGTAGCATATATACAATGAATATAAGAAATGTGATTATTGTTTCTTGTTTGATTTCATAAGAATTTTCAAACTTCTTTGCGACATGAAATGAATAGAATAAGCTTGATGACAATGATCCAGTGAAAATGAGTGTTACAAAGAAAGGAGAGAAAAATGCTAGACCACTGTTGAAAGCTGACACCATAGAACCTTTCGTGGAGTCCAGGAAAATTAAAGAAAAGGTCAAGGAAGGTGTTCGCAGTTCTGGAAGAACAATAGATGCAATGAAGCTTAGAAAGAAAACAGGGGGCCTTAGGAATAATAAAGATTTCAATTCTAGGAATGGTAAAGAAATGATTTAATGGATAATGCATGTCAGTAGCAATAATGAATTAGTAATCATTCTGAAGAGTTGGATTTGACAATTAATAAAGAAACCGAAATTCTAGACGTCATGAAAGACGAATTGGTTGAATATTAGAACTGGAAGATTTCACGGTCAGCTTTATAAATAAATGTTTATTTAGTTACTAATCATAATATCATGGGCATTAAGAGTAGGAGCTATGATAGGACATTGGCAGTGTTTCTTAAGCAACAAAAACAACACCATATCAATTAGTGGTCACATCAATAATACCTTTTGGTTTTATGTCATCGAAGGCTGCATGTCAAAGTGATTTTTTTATTCTCTAATTTAGAAACAAACCACAGAATTTTCAAGATTATTATGATCATAGTGTAGATTGGTTTATAAACTTGTACTGGGAGCGTACTTTAACTGAATGTTATTGAAGTTTTCATACTCGATTTCAGCTAGCTTTTTCCCCAGATTTTAAAGGTTAGTTTTACTGTAATTAAGTCCAATGCGGATTGTTGAAATTTTATTTTTTTTAAATACGAAAGTCCTCGGTTGTAAAACGTCCCAGCCTGTACAAATTTCTCTGATGAAACGAATCCATCAAGGGCTTCCTCCAACTTTCCTGTATCTAGATCTTGAGATTTTCTTATTAATTGGGCTTTTAATAATGAGCACCACGATATTCTCTATATAAATCATCGTGAATCTCCATATCCATTTAACTTTCTCGCTTGGTAGTTATGTCTATAAATCTTGAGATTTCGGTATTGCTTGGTATATCAAAATAAAATAATACATTTTTTTAATTTACTGTATTTAGATTAAAATATAAATTAAATTACATTTATTTCTTTCAAAAAATAATTAAAACCACAACTTCCATATTCCCAACTTTTTCTTACTCTTTTTAACATCCAATTACATTATGGATTTTACTTATATGAAAAAATATAAAAATGATTTTTTTAAAAATAATTTTGGAAATTTTTATTTATTTATTTTTTTAAATATGCTATAGTAGTTTTAAAAATTTAATTATCGAGAAATCAATAAAAAAATTGGCCTAAGAAAGTTTTTTTTTATTTCAAAATAACATTCTGATATATTCTTGATTTTTTATTATTTTTGAATCTTTACATATTTCTTTTTGAATTTCAAAAATATCAAGCACAATTACTGTTATTTAGGAAAGTTTAAATTTTATCCATTTTTGTTGTCGAAAAATATACTGTATTTGCGTTATAAGATAAACATATATTATTTTATACTATGATTAGTTTAAGATCCAATCCACTGTATTTTTATGATTACAAACTTGATGATAAAAAAATTTATTTATTTCATCATTTTTAAAAAATATAATTTCTTTATAAAATTAAAGATAACCATCCATCACGGGAGATAATTTAACGAACATATGAAATCATGTTCAATTTTCAAACTCTAAGAAATATATTAAAAAAGAACAAATGATGTTTAAAAATTAAAAAAATATGTCAAGATGTAGAATATTAATCACAGAAATTTTTTCTTGTTTTAAAACAGTCGCGTTTGGAATCTTCGATTTGGACCGCGGACGATCAATTGAACAAGATCAATCTTATTAGGGATGAGACCTGTTCAGACCTATTGATTTTTTTAAATATAATTTTCGATTTTAAAACATTTAATGATTCTGAAATCAGTTAATTGCTAGAATGTTCTCTGGTTTCCGCGGAGAAATTATTACGTAAGGTTACGTTCTTGTGATCTACCATGCAAAATCCACATTACGCTGTATTCTCTACTCAAAATTCTTTCCAAAGAAAAGAAGATAGAGCAACATTATTCGTCTTGGATGATCCGTTGTGACAAATAATTCTACAAAAAAATTATAAGTGGCGATGAACAACGATGAATATGATAATAACGGGGATTGGAGCTTTGCAAGTGAAAAAAATTTTGGTATGTTTTTACTACTAGACTCGAATGTTTACATAATGCTAGTAAATGATTGTATCTCAATCAATTCTACTAGACCCTTCGCAACAACAATTTTGGCATCAGCAATTTCTAAAAGTCGATCTTAGTAAGCTTGAAATCATCGAAAGTGGAAAGCTCTTACTCGTCGCCGTTTATCCAAAACTTTCGTTGGTTTTACGTTTCATCACTAATGAATTATGCATCAGTTTGAATAATGCAACTGAGGAGATAGTTATTCCGTTGAACCAAGTTACAAAATTTAAGGTATCGCCAAATAAGGATATTACGGTGGAATTTAAAAAGAATTTCGATAGATATGTGAGTGAATTTATATACTCATAACTGGCTACTTACAGTTTTTTGGAAAGTTTTGTTAGCCGAAAATTAGTAAACAATAGTATTGATATTGACTGTTGACTTAGTATTTCAGATATCAGCAGGGTCCATTGAATCAGCGAGAACAGATCTCATTTGATCCATCTAATGGAAAACTTGATGGCGCACAAACACTAATATTTATGCCAGCTAACTGGGTAGACAAAAATACAATAATTTTTTTCGGGGAAGGAATAAGGAGATTGAGGTTTGATCAGGTAAGGGCTGCCCTTGGATTTTTCTTCTTACCTACCTATATATGATTCCCTAAAAATTTGTAATTCGGTATGAATAGCACAAAGTGAATAGTTTAGAGAAAAGAGAGTCAGGAATAGGTAGCAATATTCTTGGGAAAGAATATGGTAAAGATGACGGAAAAGAGGTATCGATTTACTTTTCTTTCTGAGTAATGTGTACGGTATAAGTATTAATTGTATTATTTCTCGGATTTAAATCAAAATAGCTTTACATAACTTGTTCTTTTTTGACGAAAACATTTGCGTTGCAAGTTCGGGATAGCATCACATTTCAAGAAATTCTTAGCGATGTTCAGATGCGTTATAAAATTGAAGTAAATCCTCATCGCATCACCTACAAAAATCAAGTAAATGATATTATAACTTTAATTGATGAAGAAGATTGGCAAGCTGCTAAATGGGAGGCAAAAAGAGCCAAATCATATACGATCTGTATGTACTTCTCGTAGACATGGTGTGTTTTTTCGATTGAGAGTTTGATCATTATTGAATATAATAGAAATAATGATTACATTTTTGTACATAAAGTTTCAATTGTAGTGATAAATTATTAATCAGCTTTTATAGTATAACACACTAGATAAAATATGTTTGCTACAAAAAAAAACTATTGTTTAATAAATATAATTGATTTTCTTTTTAATTTAGTGTAATTTTTGCAAGTCACAATTATACATCTATCTAGTCGATTGGATAATATCATTGACTTGTATTAGCCATTATGACAGTAAAAAGTTATTAATAAAACCATTATGACAAGATTATCTCTATGTATTTATTGCAAAATAATGTGACTTAAGACAAAATTTCTATTTTGAAATTAAAAAAAAATCAAACAATATTACTTTATTAAAATTTTTCATTTCTAAGAAAATAGATATGCTTTTATCACATATAAAAAAAACTTTGGATAAGTAAGAAAACATTATTTTTTGCTAATATCATAAAACATCAAATATTTTTATACAAAGATTAAAAAGTAAAAAAAAATTTTGTTTTTTGAGAAAAGAATAAAAAGAAAAGAAAAAATTTTTATAATGAAAAATAAAAATTATTTAAATTAATTTTTGGTCTAATTATTTGCAATCAACAAAATTATTTGATTTCCATTATTTTATTAAAAATCAAGAATATTCAAGCACATAAAGTCTTATTGCTCAAAGACTTTGTTTAATATAGTATACTGTTATTAAAATTTATTGTTTAATACTTTTTTAAAATAATTAATATTGAAGAAACCTTTTATTAAATTAAAATAAAATTTTTCTTTAATTTTGAAGAAAAAAAAATCAGAATAAAAAAAACAGGAAAATATTAAATTATTTTAAATAAAAAAAAAATCTTATTATTTTACTTTTTTACTATAGCAAATTATATTATCAAATATAATATTATATAAAATAAAATATATGAAAATTATATATTTTATTTATTTATTTATTTATTTTATTTTTTTTTTTAATCGCAAACAGGCATTAAATGCGAGACTTTTATTAAACGAGAGTTTATAGCCATTACATTAAGA